CGTCGTCGTCGTCGTCGTCGTCGTCGCCGCCAAGGCTGCCTGCTCCCATCGACCCCTCTCCTATCAGGCCAGACGACCCGTCAGGAGGCAACTCCTGGGAGTTCTTGGGAACGATTGCGGGCTGTATAGCCCGATCGAGGGGCCATCGAGCCAGATTTGGCTGGATAAAGCGGGGGACTAAGCCGAATCCGTTGGGATTGGACCAGACAAGGAAGGATTACGCCGCATTAGGCCGGTTTCCGACGATGAAATACCAGCGCCGATGCTGCATTTACCCTCCAACGAGTTGCAACCTAAGAACAAGGGGGATATGAAATGAGGTGGTTCGCGAAACGGCTCATGTAGCCCGTTCTCTGGGCGCCTCCCAGAGCGGGAGGCGCCCACGTATCGAGGCGAGCACCTGGCGGCGGGGCCGCCACCAGCTGTATGCAAAAGTTGTTGCACGGGAAGTTCGTGACGTGACTATCCTAGCGGTGATTTACGTCACAGCGTGAATCGTTCAACCTTGGACGATCGGCGGCGTTTCGATCGCTATACTGTTCCATACCCGCGGCGGGGTCGCCGCCGCGTCGACACGACGCGAACCTGCCGCCCCCGCCCCCTTTTCAAATCCCCCCTTTCGTCTGGCCCGATCCTTCCTCCGATCCCCGCTCCTCGTGGATCGTGGGCGTCAAAGAAGGGGGGCGTCTGAGAGGGGGGATCTGAAATCATGGCCCGAGTACGCGGACCATGAGGGGGGGCCAGGGGACGTATTGAAATAAGAATATGGGCCGTGAATTCTGGGGAGATATCATGGCCCTGGCCATGACATCCCCTCCCCCCCCCGTGGACATCGCCCCCCTCTTGGCCGCTCCCGATCGTTCCTCATGGAGGAGGGACGCTCTCTGGACCCGACCGGAGAGAAAAGGAAGTAAAAAACGGCGCGCACTCGCCGGCGGCGGGGGGGGGTCCGTCGCGGCCGCTGGGGCATCGAGGGGCGCCGCGCCAGAGAGGCCGCCGTCCCCGCAGCCTCTGGGAACGAGATGGCGCGGGCAGCCCCGGTGGAGCTCAGCTCCCCAACCCAGCGTCATCCCGCGATCGGGAACGCTGTCGCCGATGAGCATGCTGGATGCGCTGCTCGTCGTTCCTGGGATCTGGCCCTGGAGGGCCGTCGGACCCCCTGACACCGACTCATGGGACTGCACGGCCCACCTCCTACGCAGGAGGGCCGCTCAGGCGATGGTCGATTCGATTGCCACTGCCCCCGGCAACGCCACCCGGCCCAATGCAGGCCGAGAGGCGAGACACGGACGGGACAGAGGGCTCCTGATGACACATGATGGTCTAAGACAACTCAATGGCCTGCACAGACGGCCCGCGCTGACCCGAGTGGTTCTTAGTGGTCTGGCTCGAGCATTGCTTCATGGGGGGGGCAGTAAGCGGGGAGGAGAAGAACTGCACACCTTTCGTGCACCCTCGGGGCCCCAGGCCCCAGGGGGCCCATTTGGGCCCCAGAGGGGCCCGTTTGGGCTCCTTCCCTGCAGCCCTCGAATCCTCACATGTACAGTCAAACTAATACCACAAGGAACGCTAAATAAGGAACTGAGCTCCTTTTTGGCACCAAGAGCGCCTGGTGAACGAGGAGACCTAGAGCCTAGAGGAAGAACCACGAAAGGACCCAAGGACCATCAAGCCCCTTCCGAACCTAAAGCGGTCCTTAGTTCAACCAACACCTAACGCCAACACCTAACGCCTAACGCCTCGCCAACACCTAACGCCAGACTGGCGGCAAGGTTTGTAGTTCCCAGGGCGACAGCCTCCCCCGCCCTCAACGCCAGCGTCATCCAAACACGCATCCGCTACGCAAGACTACCCCCCAACTTCCAGACGGTCAAACACCGCCCAAAAGACACATTCGCACACGTGTACACAAAGAGCCGCTAAGCGACCTCCAGAGGCTCCGAAATGTCCCCCTCAGGTCCCACGAGTCTCTGAGAAGCCCCCAAGAGGCGCCCAAGGAGGCATCCTGCGATACCCTCGGAAGAAAGGACACACTGGAACGCCTGCACACAACTGAGCGCTTTTTTCTTCAGCCTTCCAGCGACAGATCGGTCCAGGCCAGCCGGCCCCAGGAGAACCTCGAGACGGTTCTGAGACGTCACGACACCGTCTCACAACGGCCCAACACTGCACCAACAGACAGCCCCAAGACCCGCTCAGATCTCCGAGGTGGCGGTTCCACCGAATCTCTCTGGGATGTCTAAATAAAGCCCTTGCGCCAAGATGGCTCCGAGACCCCGGACGGGCCCACCCAGAAGGGCCGGCCTCCAAAAAGACATCGAAAGGCCACCGAGAGGTTTTGAAGAAACATTCAAGATAGAGGAAGACAGGGGATGATTACCGAGGCTGCGGACATGGAAGGAATGTTTCGCACCCACGCCAATTCAAACAGGGCACTGAGCCAGAATAGGTCCGAACTCAACCTCCTTCCTAGTTCGCTACCTCGCTGGCGTGGCGGATTTGCCGCAGGCAGCTGGTTAAGTGGTCGCCAACACACAACCACGCGTGGAAAAACATGATTGCTGCGTCTTCAGCGCGCATACGTGTAACCAGAAAACAGATGTTGGCATGAACTATGGCAAACCACATGCCATCGGAACCTTCGCCTCGCCAGTCGTACAGATACGTTCCGGCTAGGCGCACTTCCGATTACGGTCGCCAGCACATAGCCACGAGCGGAAAAAATACTCGATGTGTCATCACGAAGCGTAACAACGTAGCAGAGGGAAGCGGAAAATTGGTGCCACCCACAAAAGCAAGCTAAATACAATCATGCCGTTCGCCTCGCCAGTCGTACAAATACGCTCCGGCGGGGAATAATTATAATCTCGGCAGGGAACTCACAGCCGCGCGTGGAAGATCTGTGCCGGACCCTGAATGTCGCCTCGCCAGTCGTACAGATACGTTCTGGCGGGGCATAATCATATACGACAAGTTCGTGTCGCGCCGACTTCGGCGTTGGTTTCTGACACCGCGGGGATGGTCGAACCTTGAACGGCCCGCCGTTTCCGAAACGTCGGATCGTTCAACATCGACCGATTCTGGGCCGCCGCCGTTCAACTTTGAACGCCCGCAACGGGGTCGCCGCCAATCGACACGACGCGAACCTACCGTAAGCGGTTGGCAACACACAGCCACGGGTGAAGGATATCGCACCGAATTTGGAGCCTCCATCAGTAGGAGCCGAGGGGAGCGCAGCACGGGTGTCAGCCTGCAAATCAAGCCGATTTCGAGCGTAACCTCCGCGCTGCCGGTCGTACAGATCCGCCACCGCGCTTGCAGCGGTTGGTGTGCGTCGGGCCCTTCCGCTCTTTGCGACACAAGAAGTAGCGTACGCCGACGCATTGAGACCACGATGCGTTCGCTCGTGTAAATCCCTGCGTGTTTGGCCTTTCAGGCAGAAATCGTCCAAACACAAAGCTTAGGGAAAGGGGGTTCCATGGATCCTCCCCCTCCCCCCCTCCAAGGCGCCCCCCCCACCATCCCCCCCGGTCGCCCGAGCGTGGTGGCGGTAACGCGCGGCAGCGCAACTGGATACGTTCCAGCGGGCGGAGCGCCCGAGCAAAAGCACCATCGAGCTCCCCTCGTCCGCCCGTCGCTGCACACTCTGCTGAGATCATCCCGCTCCCACTCCCTCTCGAGGGGGACGACAACTGACAACTTCAACGATCCGGGCAGGGCCCATCCATCCTGGGCCCCAGATCGGCGCCTACGCGGCCCTGGCTTGGCCATAGGGGGGGGGGACTCATGCCCAGACCCGGGGCCCAGGATCGCTCAAGGCCAGGATCGGTGAGGTTGTCAGTCAACGCCCACGGACCTAGGCGACCACATGTGACCTGGACCCCTGCAGGTCAGACTTCTGAGTGAGGCCCTGACTGGAATTCTCAGTCCGACCCCAGCTCGGCTGGGCGATAACGTAGGATGACGGTTAGCACAAGGAGTGCGACAGGGGGGAGCGACTCAGGAAATAGATCCCGCCGCTCGGAGGGATTTTGGAGAGGGAAAGCAGATCATCTCACTGACGACGAAGTCGGCGACGAACGAGTCTGGAACTCACCTTACTAATAATCGCCTGGGGCGCTGCCGCGTGACGCCCTGCGCACCCCCCCCAGGCACTTCCCAATCGCCATCATGTGCGTTACCCCAACGTCGCTTGGACCCGCAATAATGTGGTTCGCAAATGGTCGCCAGCCTCCCCCCACCACCGTCAAGGCCATTTCTCAGGGTGGCTCTCCTGATACCGCGCTGCCGTCCATGGTAAAAAGGTCCTGCCTAACCGCGCGACTTGCCTGGGCTCGTGCCTCGTCGCGGCAGCTCGACGGCACCATCCACCTGCCGTCCCTCCTCCCTCCGCACTCCCTCCCTCCGCTCCCTCCCTCTTCCATTCGAGCGGAAATTACAATCAACATCAGCGATAAGCATTCACTTTAAGGGTGAAAGGCAATTGGAACGGCGCGAGATTCAAGGATGCGCGCGCCCAGACGTGCTAAAGGTGGCCACAGCCGAATAATGCAAGCTGTCCTTGCGATCAAGACCCAGCCTTAGTACCCGTTTTGACTGCAGTGGGGGCCAACACACGTATGGGACAGCTAGGATGCGAGAGAGCTGCCCCCGAAAAGGGGGGGAGGGGGGTAGCTTCGAAGACCCCACCTTTAGCAAGTCCCCCCCAGTTAAAAAGTGCCCGCAAAAGGGGGGAGAGGGGTTTAACTTCGAAAGCGCCCCCCCCGCCCTTTTCCTGGGGGGTAGCTGAAAGCTGGGTCCCCCCTTTTGTGATCACTGTGCCAAGAGCGCGCTTTTTCACATCTTCGCACGGTGTTTGTGTCCTGTTGATGGTTTCGGACCCATCCTCCCTCCTACCTCTCCCCTCATTTACTTCCTCCTCCTCCCCCTGCTTTTCCCACCAAGCGGCAAAACACGATCCAATCGGCAGCCAGATGGCAACCACGATGCCCACCGACGCCTCAGACGATCACGGCCGCCCAACTCATAAGGCCTGCGGGCGGACGAGGAGGTGGACGTGGCCTCAAGAGTTCAACTCGACGCTGGTATGACAGAAAGGTGTCCTGAGAGAAGCGGGTCCTGGACCCCCGGGTTCCCCGCCCTGGACCCGCTCTTCGTCCGAGTGGTCGTTTGGCGGTCCAGGGGTCCAGGGAGGGCCCAACGGAGCCAAGACAAATAACGAACACGTGTAAGAAAACGTTTCCCTCATGACATGGTTGCTTCCATAAGAGTTCAATCACGTCAAAGAGTCAGATGTGAACGAAGACAAGAAACGGATCTTGCGCACGACGGCACGACAGCCCTTGCACGACGGGTCTGCGCGGGCGGGCCACCCGCGAGAAACGCCGACTGGAGAGGAGCGCGCTCACGCGAGCTGCTTGCGCGCGGAGTGTCCCCGCAAGTCGGCCCCACTTTTTCACGCCGCACGGGTGGGTGCGAGGGCGGTGAGGGGAGGATGGGAGGGGAGGGGGAGGAGGAAGAGGAGGGACGAGGAGGGAGGCACAGCGGCGGTGCTCGACTGATCCACGCGTCTGCATGTGAGCAGCTCGAGAAAGAGAGAGAGAGACAGAGAGAAAGAAAGAAAGAGAGAGAGAGAGAGAGAACCGCGGGCAACACAAGGACCACGAGCGCGCTATCTGTAGCGCTGCATTCGCACGGTGGGGGGGGGGGGGGCTCCCAGTGTGCCTCGCGAGCCCAGCACGGCAATATCCCTGGGGCGAGGCCACGCCCCCCAGCCCTGACAAAACTGACGGCGGCCACGATCCACTCTCTGTTGAACCGCAGGCAAGCCAACAAAACATTGGGATTCCAAAGGCAAATACTTTGTCATGAAAAACGAAGCCACAACAAATTACAAGTTCCCTGGGCGACGACTCGCGAGATAAGTACTGTCGGCACTCTGGGACCCTTGAATGAGTCGGTAGATCGCTGCGTATGAAAACGAGGAGGATCTCAAGCGAGGACGACGAGACGAGGCCTCAGACGACGAGGCAGGGAGAGGAGGAGGAGGGGGAAAGGGCGGTCCCTTGCCAGCACGGGGCAGTGCTGCCTGCCTCACTCTGCTGGAGTCGGTTACGCATCTAGGCCGTCCAGTGCGAGCTGCAGGAATCTCTCCTGGTGGGTATTCGGCGGGGCCCCCTTTCATGATCTTTGCTCCCGACTGGGCAAGAGCTGCCAGCACCTCCGACTGAACTCCTGTGTCTTTGGCCTCGATGAAGATTTTCATCGCGCTCTTGTCGTGCGTGTAGGACACTCTGCGGTACTTGACCGGCTGGGCGAGCGTGGAGTTCGTGATCGTCGGATCCCCCCTGGATCCGCTCTAAGCAGGCCTTGATGGCAGCCGCGTTCTGAGTTCCACCTCGACCTCCTTGCTGGAGAAGGGCACCCACGAGCGCGAACCACTGGTGGGGGCGCGGGGCCCCCAGCTTCTCCAGCGCCCCCACTGGGTTGCCTGCACGGATCTCGTCCCTGTGGTCTCGGCACAGGAGGGTGGCCTCTTGTGCGAAGTACTTGCCTGTCAACTGGATGGCCTGACATACTGCGTGATCCGCCCGGGTGAGCGCCATCGTGATCGCTGCGCCCTCTAGCGCGGCGATGCCCTGCATGTTCCGGTGAGCCGCCCTCGTCGCGACGGGCATCGGCGACTGGACCATTTCGATGGACATCTGCTGGTTCTGGAGCTGCGTGAAGCCCCGACGCTGGAGGCCGTGCGCGTTGTCCGCCATTGCGAAGACTTGGGCCAGAGGGTGAGCGGCACCTTACTGTGGCTGCTGACGCTGCTGCCGTTGCCGCTGCTGCCCTGGCGGGCCGCCTGGCGCCGCCGCGGGCGAGAGGTCGTCCTCGGCCCCCGCCGCCGCCGCGGACCCGCGGGAGGGGCGCCCCGCCCGGCGGGCCCCGCGCTCGCCGCTCCGCGAGCGGAGGGTCCTGCCGCGCCCGCCTGCCTCGACGCTGAGAGCCCTCTGTGCGAGGCCCATCGCAGCGCGCAAAGTCGGGCGGGGCTGGGGCGCGAGCGCCCCCAAGGTGCCGCCGCAGCTCCCCCAGCGCGTCAGTGGGCGCCGCGCGCCTCGAGCCAGGTGGCATGCGCGCAATGAAATCTTGGAGCGCGATCTCTGGGTCCACGCAAAGTGGGCAGCGTAGGTCGGGTGGGGACATCGGCTCTTGCGCAGAAGGGCTCCCGTCGCAAATGCAGCGGCCCCTCCGTTGGGATTGCACCGCGTGTCATTTTGCCGCCACCGCACTTTTGAAACCCGACATGCAGTTAATACAATGATTCGTCGCAACCAACATATGCACGGGCCCCCGCAGTGCGCGGGGGGGGCGGCGGCGCCGATGGGCCCCAGGGGCCCCCGCGCAACAGAAGACCTGCCCACGCACCTCGTCGGCACCTGGACCAAGAAACTCAGCGCGTTGGCCCCTGGAGGATCAGCCTGGGCGGGAGGCGCTCGTAAAGCCTCCAAATCCCTCTGAACTTGCCGAGCCCAAAGATTAGCTTGCGGGCTCGCGGATCCGTTCTCCAAGAACATCGGGTCATCGTTGAGGCCCTCCAGAATCCCCAAAACGGGCAACAAGAGGCTGACGACTATCATCCGGGTGGGGCGCGCACCTCTGCCATTGGCGCAACCGTCGGACCAGGAGCTCAGCACGGGAACCTGTGATGCGTAGTTTTTTGTTGCACCGTAGCTTCAGGCAGCGATCGGTGCTTCGGGCGAGCTCCAGCGGGGGCCCCCGCAGTGAACGCTGGCCTGCGATCTCGCAGCACTACTCGAGCAAACGCGAGCAAAACTCCGTCCATCTGCGCAAGTCGTGCTTCCCTGGCAGGTACGACTCGAGGCCCGAGTACACTGCCGACAGCGCCAGCCACGCCTTTGAAAGCCAGGCGCTTCAAACGAAGAGAGTGAGTCATCTCCCAGAACCTCCCCATTATCCTCAAGTCGTTCTCGCAGCAGTTATCCGTCGTCGTATTTCCGCAGCGCATCCCCCCGTGAGTTGTTACATCCCCCCAAGTATATGCTCTCTGCAATGGTCACTCCAGGGACTGGCACCGCGCGAGACAGCAGAGTCTGCGTCGCTGTGTACGCACCAGGGCCAACCATGACGGGCATGCAGATATCCTTCTCGGGGTTCTGTGAGAAACCTCATCTTTCCTGGAGAACACGATATGAAAACGAGTTAGATTCGAGAAGCCTCGTCTGGGCCTCGACGGGATTACAGCCCGTCATCGGAATCGTCTGATGCATATCGCCAGCGTAATCCAAAAACGGAACATCAAAGAGTTCGTCTGGGATGGCACAGGTCATCAAGCTCGCAGCACTGGCCAACACCACCGCTGCTTGTGAACCATCTCGGTACACTGTATCAGGCTTCGCAGTGATGTCACCCCTCGTCTTCACCACTGGCCTGAGAAAGCTGCGCGCAAACAAATCACGCGCGTTCCCGTCCCCCCCCCGTTCCAGCCCCGTGGGGCGGTTGGTAGTATCCCACCTCTGCCCCCGCCCTGGTCTCCATCACTGCCGCCCCATGACGCCGGTGAAATAGACCCTGTCCTGCGGGGGCGGGATCGCCTGCAGGCGGGCGCCCGCCAGCTCGGCGTGAGCCGTCGATGGAAACGCATTCCTTCTTGACCAGAAGATGCGGCACCCTCAGTTGCTTGAGTCTCCAACTGTGGACCTTCGCGGTAATCTGGGCACCCTGTCGGGACCTACGCGGGGCGTATCCATGGGCATGTTCGGGGAGGGGAGGTTCAGCATGCCGCAGCTACAGGGCCCTATACCAAGCCTTCCCAAAGGGGCAGTAGCAACGCATGAGTCCCATGGCCTTCGTGCTCCTCTTGAGGTTCCCCTTCGAGAGCTGAAACGCGCGGCTCCGCTGCCAAGTAGTTGGGGCGCGCGTCTTCGCGCGTAGCTGTCGAACAAAAAAACAGTCGCAGCAAGGCCAGGGCTGCCGTCTTCCCGCGCCTCAGCAGACACAGCGCATATGCATGGGCACACCCGCGCACGCACTCTGCGTTTCGTGATGGGGCGCGGTGTGCGCGCGAGGCTGCCCGCGTAGAAGAACCCCCCATTGGGCCGCCGGCGCACCGAGGGACCTGCTGCTGCTGGTTCCCCCCCGCCCCCGTCCTCGACCCTTGCCTTGCGTTGGCTGGGCTGCGGTGTGCTTGCCATCGCTCGAACGCCCATTCCCCGCGCATTGGTCAGATGATCCAAGATGCGATTCGGCGGCCCAGATTTTCAGGCGCTGGCCTCGCCAACCAAGAATGCACGCGCCCGTGCGATGCCAGCTAAGCACGAGCCGTCGCGTCCGCACACCAATAGGACAAAGGGGAGCGCGCGGCCTATGCGGAAAGGCCCCAGCAACAGAAGCGGCGCCCAATGCGCAGAATTTGCCGCCGATCCAAAGCGCGGCGACAAAGAGAAATAAAGGCAGAGTGGCTGGCAAGGGCACAGAGTAGCGGTGCAGACTAAGAGTCGACAAGAACCACGCTTCGCGTTTCGTTCCGTTTTCGTTTGGAGGCGCTGTGAATCGAAAGCGGTCTGGCCGATGGCCCAACGCATCGTTTCGCCGCAAATCCGAAACTCTGATTGGCCAACGTTAGCCCCTTGCGCGCAACCGAAACGGAAAGAACGAGAATGCGAAAACGATCCGCGATAGCCCAGACGACGTTCTGGTCGATCCCCGAGGCGCTCTGCACCTGGGAGGCGGGGCAAAACCGATACGACAAACATGTTTCAATCCACCCTCTCCTCTTTCCCCCCCCCCCCCCCCCCCCCTCCCCCCCCCCCCCCCCCCCCTTCTCAACGCATGAAGAACGGCATCCGCTCCCCGCGCGAAGAACTCTAGACGAATGGGGCCGTCGCGCGACGCGCGAACTGCAAGCGGAAACAGCTCGACGGTCAGCCAGCGACATCGCTGCGCAATTCAATGCGAACGGCGCGCTGCTGCTATGCTCATTGGCGTCTGAACTTGGCGCTGCCTTGTGCTGGCGCACGGTCAATG